AACCCAGACTTGCTGGTTTCTATTTGTTGCAGCGTTCTTGCTAACGAAGCTTGTCTATGAACCGAAAAATCGACGAGATTTCTCCTCCGCCGCAACGAGGGAAGCAAACATCAATACTTTTACAGCTCCTTCTCACAAACATTTAAATTGGGTCCTAACTATTCAGAGTAATTCATGCGCCATTTTGCTGTTTATTTAAAACAAGATAATGGACAGACGGTGGCACCATTTGGTGTTATGAGTACATCTGAAATAGCTTTGTATTCTGCCCAAGTATCTTTTAACACTGTTGGGAAACAGCCATTTGAGAAAGTTCACATTCAAGACTTTTTGGAAGGGGCAGCAAGCAACAGTAAACATGGAGGAGATCTCACTGCTGACCCATTTCATCGGCCTCTGCCGTCTTTTTCACAGACACTTAAACCACTCAATTGAATTCGTGAGCTTTCGTGCTCAAGCTTTAAACGAACTGAGCACTGTGAATATCAAAGAAAGAGATATCTTTCCTGAAAAGCTTTCTTCAAGTGATACTTCAAGTGGAAGTTTTCTTCACCGAGTGCAGAAACGAGTCTGAAAGGTCTGTCAACATACTTGACAATACTTGCATTAATGCCTTTGTTTGTTACTCGTAGAAATCAGCTTTGGACATTGATTTCTATGCAGCCACTATTAATAGTGTGAATAGACATGATCTCAAGAAGGACTACTGTTGCGATGTGTCTTGTAAACTCAGACGATTTTGCGAAATTCCATCTAACGTTTCCACGAATTCTGAATAGAACTTTGCACATGCAATCATGTTCCGCTCGGTTCCTTTCAATTATTTCTTTATTTTCGTCATTTAGAACCACAAGTTACAATGCTTTTCAATGGTATCAGATGTAAACAAATACTATTCTAGAATTAACAAAGTAAAATCATTTTCTGCGAGTTCGAAAATCAACAACTCCCGTGGCAAATGGCAAAGAATGTCTACAACATTGCTCTGTGCCCATGAGATGAGAATCCAAAGTGTCATTATCATAGTTTCATTATAGCTAGAGACGAAATTATTGGACTAGTTTTCCTTTAGCTGGGACACAATATCAATAATGTAGCATTGTGAAAAACTTTCCAAACGAAAAAAATAAAACACCATCTTATCTTTTCTCAACAAGCGTTTGTTGTACCACCATTGAGGTATAATGGCTGTGCCGCCATTGAGGCATAATTACGCAACGTGCAGCATGTGATTTTCGATGAAACATTGCAGTTATCCTTGCCGCTTGTGGCGTTTTTCTCAGTGAAAAAAAACATCTTAGAGTACATTCTATGTAATTCTTTCCTTTTATGGTAGAAGATGCCAAAAGAGAGTCAAACAAACGCAATCAAAGATAGTATAATTTTCGGGCGAATGTAGACACCACATCTGTAGTAAACGCAGGGTAGTTCATGTTGCAATCATTGGCGCGCTGTTTTTTTCCCTTTACATTCGGCTTAAATCCACGATGACCATGTTTTAAAAGGTTAATGTAATCTTTCTCATTAGGAAAGGTTATTTCTGGGATCTGTAGTTCATAAGAAACGAATGACCTTATGTTTCTATTCCCGGAAAGGTTGCCCTTTTTCTGAGATTAATTGATGTGTCTCGTTTGTTTGCGAAGACAAGAAACTATGAGAAACGCACATTCGAAACCGTCGATGAATGCGCTCATAGTGCAGCGGTTACACTTAAATCATGTTCGCTTTTGATTCAAAGCTAAAACTGGAGCAGTCGATTCGCTACAACCCCAGGCATCCGTCAGTTTCCTCCCAAAACCTCAGACGTCAAGTGTTTATCCAAATTCACAAAATCTGTCTGATCTCCGGGAAATTCATTCGAACTCAGTATTCAGACACGCTTTTTAATCATAAAACTTCTGAGTGACTGCCCTGTTTTTATCCTTTCCTCAATACATGGTATATTTTTTTCGTGTGTGGGTCAACTGTCAACTTGAGGCACAAATCAAATAAAATTTTATGTTACTTTCACGGTTTGTTCTACACGCTAGTCATCTTTGCATTACATGAGTTTGTCAACGAACATTAAAAATTACAAATCAACCTCACATCTTTGTGCCATAAAAGTTATACTGGAGAAAATCCACTCCATCTCCATTCCTTTTGAACCTCGTAGGATAATGGAAAATACCCATGGACGAAATTGAACTGAATTATTTCGTTGCTATATAAGAAGCTTTCTCCGAGTTTCTTTGCGCGACGCGTCTAGTTAATACAGAAAATGTAAAAACTTACGTAAACTATCCTCCCTGTTTCAGAAGCTCAGAAGAAACAAATATCATCGCCGCCCAATGATGAGTTTTGAGTTGAGAACTTCTCGCTTGGGTAAGTAACCTCAAAAATCTTCCAATATCATCCCACTGCGTGAAAGATATATACTGTTTGAGTGACACAGTGACGTCACGTAATTCTGGGAAAGCGGCAGCCATCGAGTCTAGAGGAATTGTTTGGTATATTATCGATCGATGTTTTTTTTTCAAAAACCAACAACTACGTCAACAGCGAAAACAAAATGGTTCTGCTTCGTACAATTCTTTCTTCAACGTAATAAGGTGCATGGTAAGTTCTGTTTCTCGTGATTTCTATTCTTGCCGAGAGCATTTTAATTTTGAATATTTTTTGGCCAATATTTTGAAACTTGAGACATGAAACACTGCACTAAAAATTGCACGCGAACTTGACGATGTAACGTATCTTGTTTTATTATTCTTAGTACCTAAAGACAAATGATGAAGATAACATACAGAATTTGAAAATAAATAAGCTTTTCTCTACGAAAAAAAAACGCATTGACAAGGGAAGAAAAACATAAAAAAATTAGATCCTACAGGCTCACCTATGATAGATCGTACAGATCTCGTTAATGTTCGGGTCAGGCACGATGACATTTCTGGTTATCTTCTCCTTTTCTCGGTAAAGTGATTTTAATACAAATTATTTGTTCTCAGAAATCATTCCTATCATACTGCGTTATTAGATCTACTAATCTGACATTTTTTAAGTTTACTAGCGAACAGGTATCAGAACAAATATATGGGCATTTCTTCTCGCAACTCTTTCACAACCGGCCAGGTTATGGTTGCGGGTTGTTGTTATCTTGCCAACATTATAAACGCACGGAAAACATGTGGTGAAATAAATGTCGTACTTTTTAAAAAGATACATTTTTGTCTTTTTTAGAGCGTAGGAAAAAGAAAAAATTCTGAGTTACCACGAGGAATCGAACGTGAGACTCTCTCGGTGTGAACAATGAGTTTAGTCCACTTCCGAGTAAGGCGTCACGCAATCTATCCTATTCCCAGAAGAGACTACATCAGCATAGTTTCTACAGCTGAAGCTTTGTTATCTTGATCGAACCCAACTCTGTTAAGGTCTTTAATAACTTAATATTGCAATATAAATTATAAACCGAAAAAAGCACATCCTAAAATGAAAGAAATCGCGCGCACTTAACGTTCCTATGAAAAACATAGGCTGCCAAACAGTTTTACCTCTCTTGCCTAGGACGGTGTACAAATTTTCTCTCGTAAAAGGCTCTTCAAACGAGAAGATTCTTCTCTTTCAGCATTTTATCAGGTGGATTCACGACTTTAATTTTTCAGATCCGTTCTAACATTTCATTTTAAAGTTTGCACCATGGTACTGAAATGTATGTTTTCAGAGTTAATCCTTCTGTGTTCCGACAATTAGAGCCCAGACATTTACGCAAATTGCAATCACGATCGTAAGCAGTGTTTCTCGATATTAGCGCCTTTATAAGCAGGTGAGCATAACTGATTGCGGAAGCCATGAGCAAAATTTTACTGCGTTTTTCAATATTACTCTGAAGCGATATTTTCGTAGCAGTGTTTTCGTGTAAATAAAATTAATTATGAGCTACGGAGCACTCCATGCTGACTCGATTCCCGACTTCTCCAGCAGTCATGGGTCGTGGGAGATCAGCATTATAAATGCTATTGGATCAGCTTTACTCTCAAGCGTTCTAGCGCTGAGGTATCAGTTCTTCACGGAACACGAGTTGCTAACGAGACCTGTGTTTTACTGTTCCAATCAGGATCGAACCTCGGCGTTTAGAGGCTAATTTGCCTTGGTTTCTTAGATCTACTGTGAGTTCTTCTGTCGTATTACGCTACTGTCGTAGGTCCCAAGATTACGGACGGTTCAGTGGAGGGCACTGTGCTTCAGAGTCGTGACGAATCGTAGTTTAGGTGCGCCCCATCCCCAGAGTTTCGCGCTGCGCACCTACAATTTTTTCTTCATTGATTTTTTCAGTTTACTCGAGCGATGAACCTCGCTGAAAAGCAGTGACTGCTTGTGGTCTATCGGTTTCTTAGTAGAAGAACATCAGAATTCACAAGTCTAAATGTCAGTTCCTCGGGGCTCAACATAATCACATGTCATCAACGCAGTTCAGCCGTAATGGTGATCGACCGCTTCCTTCAAGTTGTTGGTTCTGAAGAATTTCTGTCAATGTTTATTTCCCCACCCCTTCGATTAACTGCTATTAACTGCGGGTATGGAATGTTAGATATGTATTTTGATTGCAACGGGAAACTAATTTTGTTTGCGTGCCCACCTATTCGTACAGCCACAGAAGTCCTTTAATCCCATAATCACCCTGAAACGATTATAAAATATTCTTTAATTAATCTTAATAAACACAAACACAGCATCAGGAGAGGGGATCTCGTTTATTGATGCAAGATACAGCGAGCGTTACATCGTTATAAAGAAATTACGGTAGTGAATAAAGTTGACAGAGACGCCTTTGAGCGGCTCTTGCATGCAAAAGTTACAAAATCTTAGATAGCCTGGTAGCCTTAGGGATTCATCGTACCTACAAGTACGCCTAAAATGCCTCTACAGTTAACACGAATCATACATGATGAACATACTTCAGTGTTATTAGCAAATCGTTACAGAATATATACTGTATTCCTTCTCTATCTGAAGTCCGCCTTGACGTACGTCTGGCATCGCGGGCTCATAAGACAGAAGGCAACAAACATGGTGGCAACAAAGCAAGTGACGGAAGGTAAATGAATCAGATTGTTAGGTTACAGGGACGTATCTTCCCATTTTATCAATCATTTCTTATCTTGTTAACTAGATGTGTTTTTTCCTTTGTCGAGCGTAACGATGACAATCGCTGAATTGTCGAAGCATTCGGCCCAAATTTGTTATAAACATTTGCAGTGTGCTCTCACTATATTTAATTCTTCGCCCGCTAAAATATCGCGGTATCTGGTGTATATTGTTGATATTTTAATTTGCTGTGAGCCAAATATCAATCTGCAGAAATTGTGGGTTTGTAATATGTTTGCTCTAGTATTCCTCGAAAGCACAGTGGAAAATTTGATATCTACGAATCTAATCTGAAAAGTCAAGATGTAAAATTAAACGAAGCTCAAAATTGATATCTACGTGGCAGAAATAAATCGTGTGGTAATAAATGGTGTTTATTCAACTGTGCTTGAACAGTACCCTTTTCAATTCTACTGTGCTTGTCTCCACTACCGAAGTAACCGCCCCCGTCGACCATGACCCTAATTATTGAAATCTCTGCCGTAGAAATAATTCTATATTTTTTTATAGTAATCTGTAGTTATCGTGGACATCTAATGCTTTTGTTACTAAACAAAGGGTATATTACAGAAAACAGGGTCGCTAATTTGCATCTTATTGAATAAGTTTTAGCATTATCATTTAAATTTTATAATCCCTCATCGCCATAGCCTTGCAATTGGCAACAAGGTGAACTAAGAGGGCGATAGGCCAGTATTTCATGGTTGCTCCTCGATGATGTTAGGTACCTGAATTTTTGATAATTTTAGCTGGAGTTTAGTACAGATATTGTTATTGGGAACTTGTTCTTCTGCTCACAATTAGTTCAGGAAGGGAAAAGATAAGGGAAATGATTCACTGCACCATATAATAACATACAAACTCATCTGTTCTGAGCTAAATTACCTACAATATTACTTTATGCTTCCATCAATCATTATCAAGTTGGAGAAACAAATTAGATCAAAATTCTCTCTTCCTTCTTTGATCTTTTGAACTCATAAGTCTGTAAGTCTGCAAGTCTGCAGCATGCTTGTAACTCAAAATGGATTTTTTTTAGTATAGGAGTCTCCACTCTGAGATAGCCTTCTCCACCAAGGGATACATTGATTAAAAGTATTAATTTTGTTATTTCCTGGGCCTCTGTGCAATGAATCAAAATATTAGCCTATGCACTCACTCCCAAGATCAATATGTAACTTCTCTGCACAGATTGCTATACATTTCTTTTAATTTTTGCTTTGAGAATTTGGTGTTAAAATGAAACTATACCTTGTAATTGATGATTATCTGTGCTGAGTGATCTGATTTCGAAGAATGTACACTGTAATAATGGTCATGGAATTCATCATTACACCCCTAAGTCATTCATTCTCCTCAGGTGCAGAAATTTTCTTTAATATTCATTTTCCCTTTATTTAATCATTTGATTCTCATCACCATTCTGTGCAAAATTGTATCAAATCTGTAAAGAGAATGTTCTTTTTTTATCACTGTTGGGTGTGAAAGTGTTAAAGTTTACTTCAAAGGCTAATGGTTGGTTTGATGTCACTCTTATCATTATTTCTGTTCATCACACAGGTAGTGGTTGGTGTAACCTGAAGTACATTAGTCTCCTCACCTTGACAATACAGAATGCTTCTCTTATTCTCACGATACGTTACTCGCGCACCTTGCCTGGAGACATGTACATTGCTACAACTGCCGTGGTGTTTGCAGAAGTCTTAAAAGTACTGGCATGTTTGTTAATTATACTTGCCCAGAAGCGGAGCTTTCCAGATTTTTTTGATTTACTATATTCATCAATTATTGGACAGCCATGGGATACACTGAAACTATCCGTTCCAGCACTAATTTACACCATACAGAATAATCTACAGTACACTGCTATTTCAAATCTGGATGCTGCCACTTTTCAGGTATTAATCCTTTAACCCCTAAGAGTGACCAGCATCTAATTTCTCCTGACAATATCGCCACTAAATCACACATTAATTACACAAGAATAAAGGAAATGATCACCAACTAAAGAAACTCTGATTATTAGACAAATTATCCTTGTCAGCACCTTAGTAAATGTACAGATAACAGTATGGAGAATATGAGTACTGATGTTAGAGTGTAAATGGTTAATTATTGGATTGTACTCTTACCCATTTTCATTATTTTCCTTATTTGTTGATTGATTTGATAACTTTTCTTTTACATGGTTAAAAAATTCTGTGCAGAGGTGGAAGAAAAAAATACATCATGCCCAGGTTGTTTGAAGAATGGATGATGCTTTCCATTGGATAAATCTCTATTCAGTGGATAATGCTACATGTTTTGCCATCACATGTCTGCTGGGTAACGATTTATCCATTGGATAGCATTATCCACCCATTATACAACTGGGCCTAGAAGTGCATTAGATGATGATTTATTTTCTTTTTGGTTTTATTGCTGACTGATGTGATTTCGAAGAAGAAGACTGTACACTGTGACAATAGTTATGGAATTCATTACACCCCTAAGTCGTTCATTCTCCTCAGGTGCAGAAATTATCTTTAATATTCATTTTACCTTTATTTAGTTATTTGACCCCTAAGAGTGACTAGTATCTAATTTCTCCTTACAATATCACCACTGAATCACACATTAATATCATGAGAATAAAGGAAATGATCTCCAACTAAAGGAGTTCTTGATTGTCAAACAAATTCTCCTTCTCAATGCCTTAAAAAATATATAGAGAACAGAATGGAGAATATGCATCTTGATGTTAGAATGTTAGGGATAACTCAAATTTTTTATTATTGATTTTCTCCCATTTAGGTGACATATCAGTTAAAAATTTTGACAACAGCCCTGTTTTCAGTCTTCATGCTCAACAAAACTCTTGTGAAACTTCAGTGGCTGTCTTTAGTCATGCTCTTTGTTGGAGTCTCAATTGTGCAGCTGCAGCCAACAGGTGGAACTTCTTCAAGTGATAAAGATAACCAGTCTGTGGAGACGGCACAGCAATTGAAAGAATCTCAGAGCCCACTGCTGGGTTTGGTTGCCGTTATTTTGTCCACACTTTGCTCTGGATTTGCAGGTTAGGCTATAACCCAGTAACTCCCATGAGTGACCAAGACAGAATTTCTCCTTACAATATTGGTACAATATCAATCAGACAAGTGATAAGAATAAAGAAAAATATCAATTAGGGGATAATAATTTGATCCAATACCAAATTCTCCAAACTAATATCAAAAGAATTGTATGGCAGACAATGAGGAGAATTTCTATTAAGATTTTGGGAGTTAATGCGTTAAAGTATGAAATAGTGCATACAGTGTAGCATGGAAATTTTTGTAGATTTAACAGATTTTGAAGATTGTGACATAATTCAGGTTCCCAGTTTAGAAAAATCCCATGCAATACAACATTGCAAAAAAAATTGATATTTCCAGTCCAGTAATAATAATAAAGAAAAACCCTGCATGTATTTGAAAAACATGTATGTAAGCTGACTCACAATAAGTGTATAATCTTAAGCATAGCCTCCATCTGTACAACTCAACAAGTAATAACATTTTAAAATAATTCAATATAAATGAGCCATATTGAATGGAACTACAGGACATAAATATGTCTTATTTGAATCCTTATCTATGGCTAAGAGTTCACCCTTCATGTAGAGGCAAGATAGCTCCAAGTTTTTTTGTTTTAACTGGCAAACCACCAACTTTCATTAAAAAATTTTGGCAAGTGATTGGTTAAAAAATGTTCATAAGCAGGTGCATCCTCTAGCAGAGCAAGGTTGGAATCAAAGTCATAAGTCAGAATGTTTTCTCTGATATTCCCAAGAAGTCACATTTTTTCAGAGATTTTGTTGATATGATTACAAAAGTCAAATGTATTTGACCTATAAAAAATATTGGTGGGTGTATGTGTTTACTATACAGCAGGGATTTTAAAACAAGCTGGTGACTGCCTGAGTTTCACCAGCTATTTAATGGCATAATGATGTGTCACTGGTTACTCTGGTCAAAATAATTACCTTTTGGCCTTTAATGAATTTTTAACAGTCACCTACTTTTGCTGAGTCTGATGCCTATTTCAAAATATTTTGAAACCCCTGCACATGGTATTACTCATTGTTGCCTCATTTTGATGCTTTTCCCTGTTGTGTCTTAGGTGTTTATTTTGAGAAGATTTTGAAAGGTTCACAAGCATCCATCTGGATCCGAAACATTCAACTGGGAATCTATGGAACAGTTATTGGCCTTATTGGAATGCGTGTTAAGGATGGTGACAAGATTGATGAGAAAGGCTTTATGTTTGGGTATTCCATCTTGGTTTGGATTGTTATCTTTATGCAGGCATTTGGTGGGCTTCTGGTTGCTGTAGTGGTGAAGTATGCAGATAACATTCTTAAGGGCTTTGCGACATCATTAGCAATTATTGTTTCTTGTGTAGTATCTGTGTATCTGTTCGACTTTCATGTGAGTGGACAGTTCTTGTTTGGTGCTGCACTGGTTATATCAGCTGTACTGTTGTATGGAAGACCACAGAATCAAGCTAAGCCAGGGAGTGAAAAACTGACTGCTGTGGCAAAAGTATAACTTTGTTGTTCACTGCAGAATTTATGGCAAGGGTGCCAATTTTTTTCAGAAAACCGGGCCACTGTGCAACAGGAAAATACTTACATGTGTATTGAATAATACAAAAAACTTGTTGATATGTGATATACCAAAAGGAAATCTCATACTCAGTTCTTGAACAATGAACAACCAGGAGTTGAGTTCAATACATGCCAGTCCTTATTCTGAAATAATTGCTGTTATTTTTGTCATCATTGTTCTCATCAACATCATTTTCGTTATCGTTATCTTTATTGTTGCCATGTCATCACCAGTCATTGTCTTAAATTCTATTATCATTTACTGTTTATTATTAATGTTAAATAATTTCCCCAGTTAAATTGGTTAGCCCCATTTTGAAACAATACTAGATTTATTGCAAAAAAATTGTGGCCTTCCAATTGAAATTGTTTTCAACAGAAAGAATTATTAATTAGTAATAATTTTTACTCTTAAGATATCATAATGGTTATTTTCAAGGTGTGTAATTAATATTGAACAATGTGTGTTAAGTATTGGGAAAAACTCACAGATTACTATTAGGACTATTTGAAAGGATATTTATTTAAGTCAAATTAAGTTATTGTGGGTTTTTACTAGGTTGAAGCAAAATTAATATTGTTTGGAAAATGGAAACAACTGTTCATTTAACCTGCAAGTGAAAAGGCTGTATATAGAATAAACCACTTGTAATTGGCTATGTTTCATGGACAGACATAAGAACTGCAGTGACTATAATACATTAAAGGTATTTTGAATTTTTATCTCCTTAGTTTTTCAGAGTAGTCAATCTTTTAGAAGCAAGGATTACCAATAAATGTAAAAAATTATTGTAGAATCCTTGTTGACCATGTCCCAATCTTTGATCAGATTTAAAAGTCCACCATCATGGTAATAGTCTTAAAATTCTATATTTAATAAATTCAACACAGCAACATTTCTTTAATCAATAGCATTAGTTGCTATTTCAAAGTGAACACTGACTCAAGGAGGATATTTGTTTCAAAATGACACCCCTTAACCCTCAAGATCTGAGTATTAATTCTCCCCTTCAGTTGTTATGAGAGTGTGGTCTTCGATCAAGATAACAACTTGTACCTGACAAGTTTAAGTATTCTCATTACATGTTTGGTGGATAATGTATGGATGTTATAAGGATAAGTTAAATGCTAACACTTTAACTACCACGAGTGACCAAGACAGAGTTTCTCCTTACAATATCAATACAATATCAACCAGATGAGTGATGAGAATAAAGAAAAATATTAATTTGGGGATAATTAGTTGATCGATTACTAAATTCTCTGAACTAACATTGTAAGAATTGTATGGTTGACAGTAAGGAGAATTGAAAATTTGTTCTTGGAGTTAAAGGATTAATCACTCAGTAGTTAAAGGGTTAAATAACTGACTAAAATCACTGTAATTTATTTTATTTTAAGTTGTGCTACTTGTGGATCATGGGGTACTGTGCTTTTGGGTAGTTTTTCTTCCATCTGTGGTATTTTAACAAGGGCAACTCTTGTTACTTAAAAAATAGGTTATTTTTTTCCCCAAAATACCAAACTTGTTGAACACATGTAGAGTTTCCATAGATTTCCTTCTTTTTATCAACCTAAGTTATGATGAAGATATCACAAAGAATATGTACATTGGTTTTTTCATAGAGATGGTAGAACAACTTCCAAACAGACATGTGCACCTTACACCAATTGTGTTATGATCATGTGGAGAGATATATTATTATCATGAGGTATTTTTGTCAGTATGGCCATGTAGTAACTTGTGTGTGCAGTTGTTAATGATACCCTGTTTTATAGGGTCTTTATATTAGGAACTAAGGTGAAGCATGAATGGATTAAACTGTGATCTGATTTACTGTGTTAGTTTAAGTGTTCTCTTCACTTCTCTCATACTAAACCTTGTGATGATAAGAGCTCATTAGATTTCAGTGCTTCCGGAGTAGGGAGGAGGGGGTGACAGAAGGGGGCCTATCACACCTTCAGGGGTGTAGCCAGGATTTTCCAAAGGGGGGAGAGGGGTCACACAGTTACTAGTGTTTGCCATCTCATCTGAATATTATATGTTGTGTTCTTAAAGAAAGACTTGCAAAGGGGGGTCATGGTCAGCTCCCCCCCCCTCCCCTTGTTGCAACCTTGAGCTCCAACTGACACTCAACAGGCAACTTTACACCCAGGCCTTTACCTCTCAATGGGAAGGAAGGGGACAACTGGAAGTAAGTTGTCTGCTCTTTGTTAACTTTGAATGAGTTGCTTCCGTACCTTGCTCTCATTCCTGGCGCACTTTCTATTCCTTTATCACGCCAAATATGGCTACAGACCACAGGACCCTTCTCAGATGACTCAAAAAAGCGCATATCGAACTTTTCATTGCAAAATACTTACTTGACTATTGCGTGACAATTTCACGGACTTAAATCATGGCCGATCACTGAACTGTAAATGGAGGTTTCGCCCCGTAGCAAGTTCGCTCCCTTTCACTCTTGTGCCAGAACATAATTCTTTTCTATCGAAATGGTCATATAGTTACATCAACATGCTGTTTCTTTTATCTGAGTCAAACTGCGTGACTACGAAAGCACGCTAAGTCGCTTTGAAACTAGAAGTTGCGGAGGACGAGGTCCAACATTGAAATTGGGGCCCAGTTTCAATTTACTCTGCCACGGCAACTGAAGAGAAAGTGTTACAGGTAAATTGCGGAAGTAGCGAACGGAGAAGACGGTGAAACGGCATGTCTCTTTCCAGCCTTCATAGGAATCAAGGAAACGAATTTTTCCGTCAGGCTGGAAGTTTAAACGCGGATGAATCACCGCTGCAAGCAAAGGATCTATATGAGCGAGCACTTTCTTGCTACTACCAGGCAAAAGATAAATCCGAGAACCAGGAGGAAGAATGCTCTGCTGCGAAGAATATCGGCAAAGCTGCATGGAAGATAGCCGGTATTCTCACTAATAAAGAGCCGCAAGAGAAACCAGATGTTATCATCTTTTATCTTCATGAGGCCATCAAAGCTTTGTGTAAAGCTTACAACATCAGTGAAGAGTGGAAAGATGACGAGTGGCGAGGCGAAGTATTTGAAACAATTTGTGCTTGTTTACAACAGGTGATCGATGCTTCAGAAGCCTTCGTCGACACTGATCAAAAGATCGCACAGCTTGAAAAACTTGCATTCATTACCAGTGTGGACGAAGCTTCGATCGACGTGCACATGAGTCTAGCGACACTTTATTTTCACGATGGTACGACCAAGTTGCAAAATGGCGACTACAAGAAATGCCTGTCTCGGATGACCGACTGTTATCAACCAATTGAAGAAGTTAAACGGTTATCGAAGCGCGGTGATGCCCTCAGAATTAACTACGAGATGTTGAACGAGGCTAGAGTGTTAGAGAAGGATGTGTTCTTTCATACTTGTGCCGCTAAATCCGTGCAAGCACGAATGATGGGAGAGGAACTTCTTCAGAGCGCCTTGTTAGAGCAGGAAGCACTGCAAATGACTCTGATCTTTGAAGTTATCGACTGGTTTAAGCAAGCTGTCGTTCTCGCAAGAAATGTGGAGATCGAGCAAGAAGCTATCGCCGAAAGTCGCTTGGGTTATGTCTATGACAAGGTCCTGAGGATCACCTTGCGAGCGAAAGCCTACTACACCCATTGTTTTGAGTTGGCAGAATCATTAAAACCTCGCATGTTCACAGCCTGTCAGTGGTACAAAGACTGCACAGCAACTCTGCTGAGATACCAAGAGGAAGCGAAAAAGAGGGACGAAGAAGAGAAAAGCAAAGAAAGATCAGGTTTCTTGGAGGAATTGTCACAAGAACTGGAGGAAATTAAAGACCACAAAGATCTTGCAGTGGAGTTAATCAAATTCTTGTACACCAACTATCCACCTAAAAATCCATCTTGGAAGAAACCGAGCGAGGACGAAATGGAAGATTGGGAAGAATTGAAAACGACCTCCAAAGCATACAAGAAGCTTCTTATCAAAGCTCTCGGCGTTTATCATCCTGATAAAGTGGATGAAGGAATCTATGGAAAAAAGTGGAAGGTACTGTGTGAAGAAATAACAAAAATGCTTACATTTCATTACGAAAGCACGAAAATAGGGTCTGGCGATTAGAGGAGACTTAAAGTTGTACGTTAATTTGTTATTTGTAGGACTAGCTAGGACTAAAATTTTTCCAACATGGTATGCCTTGAGATCAGAAGATGATCGCTGAAAATGAAATGTCAGTCGATCGCAAAAAAATTTAAAAAAAACGTTTGCAACATCAACTTCCATGACAGCATTAGATAAATGAAATATTTCAAATATTTTACGCATATTTACCTTTAATTTTTTCTGCTACCAAAACAAGCACAGCTTGAGGCGCAGAATGTTTCTCTATTATATAAGAATGGAGTCATTTCTTTACGTAATTAAATGTACTGACCACGAAGAAATTTAGTAGGATAATGAGAAAATAGGATGTTTAGAAATTTAATTCCTTTACATTGATTTAAGATGTGGTCAACTGTTATCACAAAAGAAAAACAAAAGAGATGGACTCTTGTCCTAACGTTTTATTGTACATGTCTAAGAGACCCTGGTAGATGATTCATTATTCAAACTACTGTTAAAGTGGAAGTCATTTATACAGCTTTAACTCGGAGTAATTTTTACAAAATAAACTGATTTCGGGTAATTTAACAATGTTTCGCCGTCAGTGTTTGTCAGCCAACTACAGGTACGTAGAGTGAAAAGCTTCGACACTGGTGAGGGTCCAGTCTCAGCAACGCGAGCCGGTGAGATATTTGCTCGGCTCTATCGCGTTGTATGGCTTTTGATAAAGTGAAATGAATTTTAAATGAATTTTAAATTTAGCAGGCTTTGTTTTCCTCGGAAACGTATCTCATCACCCCTTGGAAATAAGTTATATACAGGAAGTAAAACGACAACAACTTACGAACAAAACAAAACAAATTTACTCGAAAACTTATTATTTCATCCATATTCTCCAGCGGTGATTATGTTAGAATCCCTCTTGACCTTTTATACCCTAACATCAGTATGCGTATTCTCCTGTGTTTTTTCTATACATTTGCCAAGGCGCTAGTAAGGAGAATTTGTTTAACCATCAGGGACTTCTTAAGTTGGTGATCATTTCATTTATTCTCATGATCATAACATGTGATTCATCAGTGATATTGTAAGGAGAAATGAGATGCTAGTCACTCCCAGAGGTCAAATGGTTAAAGAACGTGCAAAGAGATGATGAATTTAAGAGCTCCTCGCAGCGAAGAACACTACTGAACTAGTAGTTGAAAATAGGACCTGAAAAAATTCAGGCCTGTACGGGATTTGAACCCATGACCTTTGCGATACCGGTGCAGCGCTCTTCCAACTGAGCGAACAAGCCAACTGGGAGGGTCCCAATGGGGTTAACCGTTAGCCGTAAAACGGCCAAAATATTTAGCCGTTAGACGTAAAAATTATCTCTGGTGGAAACAATGGAAAGGTGTTAACCGTTAGCCGGCAATTGGCCAAAATTTTAACCGATAGCCGTAAAAGCCATCACCCCATTGAGACCCTCAACTGGGAGCTGGTCAACATGTTGGGTCCAAATAAACCATCCAAGTGATGAAAAATGATTTTGGATATATGAAATTCATATATTTGCAGTGTGGTGAAGAAACGAAAGAGAGATCTTAGAAATTAGATCGCCATAAACATATTTTTCTATACGGCTGCCTCAATTCTGATACTCAGAATCACGTTTATATACAATATTGGTTTAAAGAAGTCGTGGACTTAGACTGCAATTAGCTGAGCAAAGAAATAATTAATCTAAATGACGCATTTATTATCATTAATTAAAATCTATTTTATCACTTTCATATTGTGACGTAGGTTACTCGACACTTCGATTGTGGGTAAGTTGCGACAAGAAAAATGTAGCAATGATTCGCGAGCGAAAATGAGAGTACTTCGGATTGTTTTACTTATCTTTGCATTTGCCTTCCTTGCTCAAGGTAAGTGACGAATTTCTGTGATGATTTAAAGTTCGACGCGCGCTTTTGAAAACTTAAATAGAAAAAAACGGAATTGCGTGCGTGAGGTACAAAACAACTGCCCACATAAACGAGGAAATCTGGGGAAGTGAAACTCATTAAGTTCTCTGAGCACTGGCCACAAGTGTGAAATTTAGATCCCAAAACCAGTGTTGAGCCATTGAGGTTTTCATTCAGTTATTAATGAATCACGCGAACTGATGTAGCTAAAACGCGCGTGCATTTTTCATACGCAGGGAATCTTCATTACGGCTGCCAGATTTCTTTCTATATAGGAAGAATAAGGGCAATTTAAAAGGAAAATGGAATTCAGATGCAGGGGGGAAATGAATCTCCCTTCATCTTACCATTTTTTTTTATCTTGTTCTACCATTGAGTTTTTTCAAGTCCAGTCCACGAAAAGCAGTAAATATTTCAGTCACGCACACTCGACCCAGACTCTTGAGGAACACGAGACAACATGGCGGCTTGTATTGCGTCATGTTTCTCATGTTTTCCAAAAAGTAAAGTGCCCTTTGCTCGGCCATTGATGGGTATTACATAAAAGCAGTCTTCCCCATAGTTCAGTGCTTGTACTCCGAGGTGAGAAATTATTTCTTCTGGGCGTAGCTGAAGAAAAGCAAAAGCCAGTACACTGAAAAATAACGATGGCTTGTTCCGATTAATGCACAAGTTTCGTTGGCAATTTGAAAGTGTTTGAAGATTTTAACAGCATACAAGCTAATAAGAATTTTTGAAATTTTTTTCTCTCTGGTGGTGATTCCTGGCACTTTTTTGTTACATCTGCTAGATTATCGCTCCAATCCTCATTATCGCTCTGCTTAAAATTCTATTTATTTTAGATGATGAACAAATGTACCCTAAATTAATGCATCGTTCCGAATGTTGCGAATGACTGGTTAGTCCTCTTTCTTTGATTTCTAGGAAAATCTCAACCATCTACATTTCCAGAGGAGGCAGATGTTCCCACCGCATTGCCTTTGGTATCAGACATCGATGGATATCTGGGAATTGCAGATGAATTCATTGAAGGCAGTTCAAAAAATTTTGAGGAATCACCTTCAGAAAGGCCAACTATCAGCACAAAAAATGTACAGTCCAATGCAGATGAACCAAATGGACTGAAAGGATTGAAAAAAGAATTGAAGCATGGGCGTTTGAATCTGAAAGACCTTTACAAACAGTCAGAGCCCTTCCTTACAACAAGTACATCTGGGAAGAACAACGTTCAAAACCCAAAACGAAAACAAAAACGACCACGTATAGACAATGAGGTTGATCCAGAGGAGATAAACACGGATAGTGAAAGTGGCTCTGGGGAACTTTATCACTTGAATGAAAAAACCATTTACAAAAAGTTGCCACCCCTCTATAAAACAAGCTCATCAAAAGGCATGCCTGCAAACAGCAATATTCAAGTGACTGGTACAAATGTTCCTGTTGGCAAACAAG